TTACATCAAAAGATCTAATGCTTCATATTACATCAAGAGACCCAACGGTTACCATTCAACGGCACGTGTTGGACACGCACCAGCAAAGTCACCCAACGACCGAGATTCTCGGCACCCGAAACCGAAAAAATCGCATAGTCAGAGCAGAGAGGAGATATTCTCCCCATTTTCAGCGACAAGATCAATGACGGGTTCCAAACGTGCAGCAACGAACCAAAAATCCCACAAAAATCGGATTGAACCATCACCAATTTAAAGGGAAAACAGCCCCGGCGAAGGGCTATATATACCTGCAAACCCATCAGAGGAAGAGATACAACAGAAACCACAAGCAATATAAGCAACATACAACGAAATACAAAAAGAAAACATAGCAAACAACACGCAAAAAACAAACAAAAGTCGAGCAACCCAACATCGCATAAAAGCAAAAAAAAAACCAAATTACGAGAAAACCAAAGGTCGCCGAAAGACAAAGGAGCTTGTCGAAAAAGGTAAACTTGAGGTTATACTTTTAGATCTATGTCGGTATGGTTTTTTAGGATGTTTTGATTTCGGTTTTAGGTCAGGGGTATTGAAAGCTTTTAAAAAGGGTAGATTTTAGATTTTCGACCACTGATGTACCGGTCAGGCTACGGACGTGCTCATCAGGAGGGTGGCCGGCCATAGGTAGGTCGGTTTGGGTTGAGAGGAGTTTTGTAGTTGGGGAGAGATTTTATTTGAGGTGGGGTGAAATGAAGTTTTTGGGGATTTTTGGCTATTTATAGTGGGGAGCGAAGGGTAAATAGAAAATATTTTAATTATTTTTCTAGTCTCTCTAATTCTGATGCATAATTCATTTTGGTCACCTATTATAGATTGACCATTGAATTTTGAATTTATTCAATTTAATCTATGTTTATATTTCTTATATTTCGCAAATTGATCCCATAACTTTTATTTTTCCTTGCAACTTTCAATTAACATCAATTTAACCTTTAATTTCTAATGTTTTCCAATTTAATGCTTTTTAATTTTTTGTTTTCTTTTTATTTAATATATATATTTTATTTATCATTTTTAACCCTAATTTTAATCCTTTTCGGTTTACTTTTTTTTAATTGAATTTTCTTTTTTTATTCATTTAATATCCTTTTTGTTTATTTTATTTTATTTTATTGCTTAACATTAATTTGAACTATTTTTAGGATAATTTTAAATTCGTCAAAGATAAGTAATTCGGATCGAACTTTTAAATTTTAATTTAACTTTTAATTTTCACAATTAAAACAATCGAGAAATCAAATTGGTACCGAAAGGGCAATATAGGGGTATTAATCCTTCCATGACTGTAATCGACTCCCGAATCCGACAAATTTTTTGTAAAACGTAGATCAAATAAAAGGTAAGTTAAGGTATTCGATCAACCTAATTTAAAATGATCGGTGACGGCTCCAATACACATCAATTCAAATCAGAACCCGATCCCAGGACCACCCGAAGGACGTTACGACACCACCCTTTCTACCCACTGAGAGCCTTATCAATTTTTCATCCTCTATTTTTGAAGAAAATTAAGAAGGATAAAAATGAGGAGCCATGGATATTACTTCAAATCAAAGTGCTAGGCCACTTTAAGTTCTATAGTTTAGTTTTGATATTTACTACCCTTTCAATTATACCAGTTTGTTTTTTTAACAAAACTTGAAAATTTTATGAATTGTTTTATAAATCCAATATTTTTATCATATTCAAATAAAATTTTGGACCAAGTACACAAATGGTCTTCCGACTATAGGATATTTATTTGTCAAGTACTTTGACTATTAAAAGTTATCAAATGATCCCTTAACTATAGGACTTAGCTTTATTGAGTCCCCAAATTATTAAAAGTTATAAAATAGTCATCCGACTATTCATATGTTTCAAACTTATCGTTTTCTATTTAAAAATTAACGGTAGCATGCGTTGGACGTTAATCTACTGACTATGATATGATAAAATATAATCCTAAAATCTTAAACGACTATCATATCTCAGTCAACAGATTAATCTCCAGCTCAAACTGTCATTAATTTTTAAACAAAGAATGACGAGTTTTAAATATACGAATAGTCGAGTGATCATTTTGTAACTTTTAATAGTCGAGGGACACAATAAAGCAACTCACTATAGTCAAAGGGTTATTTTATAACTTTTAATAGTCAAGTGACTTAAAAAACATCATCTTATAGTTGAGGGACCATTTGCATACTTTATGCTAAATTTTTATTATTCAAAATTAAATTTATTTAAGATAATTATATCAATTAAATCAAAATTTGATTATTATTAAAAAATATTAAAGGATACGAAATTAGACATACTTAAATGTTATGTAGTACACTTAGAGTGTGTTTGGTTGAGGGAATGTGAGATTCCCATGGGAATGGAATCCACATTCACCCGTTTGGTTGGTCGGGAATGTCATTCCCGGTAATCTTACATTACCAATAGTAGATTTTTTGGGGTATATTCTTGGGAATGTCATTACCTCCATTTCCTTAGGTATTGTTGGATTACTGACGTTTTGGACTAAAATGCCCTTAAATTTTTTTTCTTTCAAAAATATCCTTATTCTGTCATTGAATAATAAAAATTCTACGAAGGTTAAATTACAAATTTATCCTTAAACTATTTTAGATTTACAAAAAAAATATATAATTAAAATTTTATATGAAGTTTAGGAGTAAAATAAAATTTTACCCTTTCATTAAACCTTTTTATATTTTAAATTTTGTAAAAAATATATATAAATTTTATGAATTTAATTTTTTTTTAAAAATATATAAATATTTTCCAACTTGTTAAAAAAATAAATATATAATAAGGACAATTTGGTCAAATATATATTCTAATAATCTTTTATTCTTTAACCAAACACGGTAATCTTACATTCCTGCTAAACCAACCAAACACAAAATACAACATTCCATTAATCCTATTCCCTGGTAATCTTTTATTCCCACTGGTAATCTTACATTCCGTGAACCAAACACACCCTTAAAGATTTGATTATGGCAGCATTTGAAAAAAAATGTTGATCTGTTGACCAATGGAAAGGTCTAGTTGGATCCATCCATGGTCATCACATCGAACGCTCGGGATTTCTTGTATTTGGAACTGATCTATTAATTTGAAACCGTTGATTTTTTCTGATTAAGGAAATGTTATGTAGTACACTTAAATATTTCAATGATTAAGAATAATTATTATTTTTAGAGATTTTTATATCCGAGTACCAGCGACTACAACAATGATGATTAAATATTTATTGTCAAACGACTGAAAATATTTAAAACATATATTACTTTATAATCATCTTAACTTAATTAAAAGAAAAAAATTCTCAAACCATTTGTATTTTTTAAAATAATTTTTATATTTTATTGTAATAATTCCGTTTCTTTTGATTGCAATAAAAGCACAAATACTTGCTGAGATAAATAAAGGGTAAAATTCATTATTTTTAGGTAAAGTAATATCTTGTCCCCTCATTATATTCAAATTCAAGATTTATTTCTAAAACTTTAACTTGAAATAAGTTGATCCATCTACTTTTATAATCTTCTTATTTAATCCAAATAGTTAATTCTACTAATAGTTCTTTCTGAAACAAAAACATGGACTTTTCTTTAAAACACGAATTACAACTCAATCATTCTGATATAAATATTTTGTTTTGAAGGGGATGTTTTCTATTTTTTTTTAAAATCATATCAATATTTTAATTGGAATAGTTAATGATATTAACTACTTGGACTAAATATTTTTTTTTATAATTTATAAGTATAAAATATCAAATTAAAGTAATTGACTAATTCCAAATTCAATTGTAATAGAAGGATCAAAACAATAATTCGGCATGTATATGTTCTCTCTCAAATTATATTAAAAAACACAGGACTTAAGGTATGGCATCTGAGAAAGATCTTAACCTCGGGGCGACCGAGTTCAGACTAGGCTTACTGGGCACCTCCGACGAGTCAGCTAAGAACCAAACGTCGGCAACTCCCCGGAGCAACAAAAGAGCCATGCCGGAAGAATCTATATCTAGTAATGCCACAGCTTCAAAGAACTGTGACCAAGAAACTGCTCCACACTCCAAGTAAGCAAATCATTTTTTGGATCAAATTTGAAAGATCCCATGTTCTTTTTTTTCCCACCTGTTCATTGATTAATGGTATACTGATCACAATAATATTGCAGGGCACAAGTTTTAGGGTGTCCACCAATCAGATCTTACAGAAAAACAATCTGCAACCAAAGAAAAGTGAGGCTGAACCTAGTGGGATTTATGTGAAAGTGAGCATGGATGGGGCTCCTTATCTTAGAAAGACAGATTTGAAGGTCTTTAAAGGATACCCAGAATTGCTGAAGGCCTTGGAAGACATGTTCAAGTTCAAAGCTGGTAACCACCATTTTTAAACATATAGAAATAGTTTATTTTGGTAAATATCATTTTTGTATAAAAAAAAAAGCTTTTTGTTTGGTTTATTTATCACTAGGTGAATATTCAGAGAGGGAAGGATATAATGGATCAGAATTTGTGCCTACTTATGAAGATAAAGACGGTGATTGGATGTTGGTTGGAGATGTACCATGGGAGTAAGTTCCTTTTCTTCTTCCCCTATACTTGTTCTTGTTCGGATTGCAGATATTGAAATTCGAATCTAATTTTCTTGTTTGGAATGCAGAATGTTCACCAATTCTTGCAAAAAACTGAGGATCATGAAAGGATCAGAGGCAAGAGGCTTGGGTTGTTGCGTTGCATGAAAATATGAAAACAAAAACTCATGAAGAAAGAAGATCAAATCCTTTTAACTTAGGCTATCCAGAGAAGAAATTTGGATCCCGATTTTTTTTCTCCTTTGTTGATTAAGCAACAAAGAAGATTGATCCGAGGATATTTTTTCCAAGGCATAACCTTAAAAAAAAACAAAGAGAAAACATATTTTCATGTATAGTTTGGCATGTTTTTATAATTTCCTTATGGAATTTGTACAAAGGAAAACACTCGAAGTTCATAACAAGGTTTTCCTATTCATTTTCTTCCATATATTTATTATGTATCAAATCTCCCTTTGTAATTCTTCTTTCACCTTTGGACTTGAAACGAATGTATTGAAAGATTGTCAAACCATTTAATTAAACAATCACTAACATAAACCAATCTACATCCAAAATTCTCTGTTCAATGTTCATCGACACAACGGACAGATGAGGAATCTCATCAACTAAATGATGGTTTTGTGAACTCATACGCTTTCCTTAGAGCTGGAGACCTCAAGATCCGGTTTCCTCTCTTCACTAACAGCTGTGGAGTTCTCCTCAGATTGCTCTGTTAGAGACTCGGGATCCTTCTTCAGTTCGGTTTCGAACTCCTTTGCGGCCTGCAAAATTTACTTTGGACTCAGTTTTATCAACAACTTGAAACATCTAATTAGTAATCCTTCACTATTCATTTTCTCCTAAAATCTCAGTGGAAACACCAAAGCATCCATTTTGAAAACAACCAAATAATAAAAGAAGCATTTTTGAACCAAAAAATAGTTCAAATTCTTGACCATTTTACTTAAGAATCAAAACCCAGATAAGGAAATTGAAAAACCTGTTGAAAACTCTTGACAGTTCTCCCGATAGTCTTCCCAACTTCAGGTAACTGCTTCGGTCCAAACACAAGAGCAGCCACTCCAGCAATAACGATAAGTTCAGGCACACCAAGACCAAACAAAGCATTGCAAGTGAGACCCTTTTTAGCAGGCTCAGCTGATGTCTTCATCCTTGGTCGACCAATAACAAAGGACACAGATTTGTTCAGGGATTTTGCTCCGCTCAACAAAGAAATGGTGTTACTGTTGGTGATAAAATTGGATTGGGAAAAAGAAAAGGGAAGGGAAGTTGCTGCTGATGGGGGTCTTGAAAGAGAAAGTGTTATGGAAGTAATCTCCATGGTATGCCCAGTCAAGCTCTTTGAATTCGAAAAGCTTTGATTTGTTTTCAAGAATTCAAGTTTTATACGAGTACGAAGCTGGGGTTTTTGTTTGAGCGAAGAAAATACCAAAGATAAACAAGGAGCGTGTAAGGATGGGAACTAACTAGGATAACTTCTTTTGTTTTACCTAAGTTCTTATCTGTATTGTAATTTTGGTTATTGAGAACAGTTAACTATTGGAGTAAATTTTATTGTATTTAATTTATTTTATTTTAGGGTGAACCATTAAGTTATACTATCTGATCAAAATGACAGAAAGTATAATATGAGTGATAAAAATGAAAATAAAATTTAATGAGTAAATAAAATAAAATATAAAACCTAATTTGAGCAACTAAAATAAAAAGAATGTCCAGAGGCGGTGCTCAATTTGCATTTTTATTTTTATTTTTGGTGACTGAAATTCAAATTTAAGAAAATTGGATGATTAACTGTAGCCTTTGTTTTATTAAGTACTATAATTTATAAATGTGGTTAAACCCATAACAAATAAATTATTACAATAATAATTATGTAGTTAGATTAAAATTCAATCATATATATAATTCCAGCTTGGCTTTCTTTTTCTCTGCCTTGTCCTGCCCCGTTGATTTTCCCTGCTTGGACCCACGAATTGAATTTGAGTATGCAAACTGCAATCGCAAATAATTATCTCATGATGCTGGCTCTGATTTGCTTTTTGTCTGTGGTCTTTTAGTAATTTAAATCTCATATTGTGGTTTGTTTGCCATAACAGTCAAATATGTTTGTATCTACTAGTTCTTCGAGTTTTTCTGGATTAGATTTCCATCTTTTCCTTATATTGTCATTATATGATCTTGAGTGACTGGTTTCTTAATGATTTTAGGAAAATATCTCAATTATGTATCTAATTTACGATTTTTGTCGTAAATTTTATTATAATTTATATTTTTTCTTTTTTCTTTTGGTTGCCCTTTAGTTCCAAGGCTTCGACTGGACTAATCTGGACCGACCCGGGTCACACACTTGACTTTGGTTGGTGAGTCTCCCAATGGGGATTTTCTACATACACAAGGACTCGAACATGAGACATTACTTAAGCGATATCAAACTGCTTACCATTTGAACCAATCTGTTAGTAATTTTAAATGTTTTCTACTTAATAATAAATTAGCTTCTTTTATTTCCAAAAAAATAATAATCATATATTTATACTAAATTTGTTAGTTAATAAACTGTAGGGTAAAGTATATAAATAGTTCTCAAACTTTTAGGGTTTTTGCATTTTGGTCACCTAACTTTTGAAACTTGCAATACAGTCATCGAACTTTTAGTTCTTTTTCATTTTTGTCCCTATCGTTACCTTCTGTTAGATTTTACTGACGTGACAATTAACCTTTCATTAACCTCCTTCCATTAACCTCCTTATCCTCTTTTTTCTTATATTTTACTTTTAACCATTCAATAATCCATTTAATATTTTAATTATACCCTATAATGAATCTGATCTAAATCTACTCCAAATTATGCTTGCCAGCTTCAAGGAAGCATCTTCATCGTGCGGAATGGAACCTTAATCAACCTTCTCTTTGTTGCTTGCTTCCACCTCTAACTTTCAACACTAAAATAACAATAAAAAATTAGTTTAAACAAAACCATAATCTTGTCTTTCTCGTCTCTGTTTCATTAAAAACAGTAAAGAAATACTATTATATGTACCTCTCCCTTCATCACCATAGACAAAGTTTTCACCTTTGTCAAACAAACCTCTGTCTTCTTCCATTTGTCTTTGGGTGTTTCTTACAATGTCTGTCGCTGTCTGAACTAAAGTTCCAGTCTTCCAGGTGTTTGATAAAAGTTAAGGCCATGGAAGAGAATGGAAGCTCTATAAGAGAAGTGTCTATCAATGTTTCCAATAAAGAAAATGCTGTTGTTTTTGCAAACAAACCACCAAAAGTCCCCAATGCAGGTAATGAGCCTCAGCCTCCACTCACCAGAAGAAGGTCATTAGCAAAACCCAAGTCCAGATTTGGTGAACATAGACCTTATTGTTAGGAAATAAACCGAGTACAAGTAATTTCCCTATAACCAGATTAGTGAGAATGCGAAATAAAAGCGGAAAAATAATACCCGAAATTGATAACGGAGTTCAGCCAATTTTGCTTACGTCTCCAGACTGCTGCAGATCTTTTACTAAGAGAAAATTTACAGGTGTTTACACAACACACTTGAGAGAGAACTAGAAGATTTTGGGATGATTTTGAAGCTAAATGAGCTAGGGTATTTATAGTTGAAACTTAGGGACTAATCTTTGTAAATACCCTAAAGTTAATGACTAAAAAATGTAATTAATCCTATTACATTTTAATTAAACAATTTAGCAGCCCCCACTTGTTTAATTAAGCCGCCGGCTGCTTTGCATTTTGACCAACAATCTCCCACTTGAAGATGGATTTTAATTTGTCTTCACACCTCGATCGATGCAGCAACATTTCTGGTCTTGTTACTCCAGCATGCCAACTGAAGCTGAACACAACTTCAGTTTGTCCGTAGTCACCGTCTTTGTCAACATGTCTGCCGGATTTTGAGCTCCACTAATCTTTTCAAGTTTCAAAATCCCATCTTCCAGAAGAGACCGGATAAAATGATATCGCAGTTGTATGTGCTTTGTCCTGGAATGAAAAGACGGATTCTTTGCTAGATGGATAGCACTTTGACTGTCACAATACAAGACATTGTTTTCTTGTTTCTTGCCTAACTCTTCCAAGAAACTTTGGAGCCAAACCATCTCCTTACTAGCTTCTGTAACAGCGACATATTCTGCTTCAGTTGTGGAGAGAGAAACTATCTTCTGTAGTTGAGAAACCCAACTCACTGTGGTTCCTCCTAGAGTATAGACATACCCTGTAGTGCTTTTTCTAATGTCAACATTTCCAGCTAAGTCAGCATCTACATATCCTGTTATTATCGTATCTCCACCTTTGAAACAAAGTGCTTTGTTTGTGGTACCTCGCAGATATCTGAGGATCCATTTGGCTGCTTCCCAATGTATCTTGCCCGGATTATTCATGTACCTGCTAACAGCTCCCACTGCATGAGCAATATCTGGTCTAGTACAAACCATGACATACATCAGACCTCCAATTGCTAAGGCATACGACACATTCACCATGTGTGCACGTTCTTCCTCCGTCTTTGGTGACTGTTCTTTGGAGAGTCTAAAATGAACACCTAAAGGTGTACTAACTAGTTTAGCATCTTGCATGTTGAACCTGGAGAGTACTTTGTTGATGTACTCAGCCTGTGATAACATCAAAGTCCCCGACTTTGTGTCCCTCTTGATCCTCATCCCAAGAATCTGCTTTGCAGCACCCAGATCCTTCATAGCAAACTGCTTCGACAATTTTTACTTCAAGTTTATAATCTCTTGCATGTCTGAACCTGCAACGAGCATGTCATCAACGTACAACAATAAAATAATGAAGCTATTGTCGAACCTCTTGATGTAGCAACAATGATCTGCTTGACATCTGGTAAAACCACTGCTACCCATGAAGTTATCGAACGTCTTGTACCACTGTCTAGGAGCTTGTTTTAAACCATACAAGCTCTTCTTCAACCTGCATACTAGGTTTTTCTTGTCTGCCTCTATGAAGCCTTCTGGCTGCCTCATATAGATTTCTTCCTCCAAATCACCATGAAGGAAAGCTGTCTTTACATCTAACTGCTCAAGATGTAAATTTTCTGCAGCTACAATTTTCAACACCAGTCTGATTGTAGACAGTTTCACGACTGGAGAGAAAATTTCATTGTAATCAATACCTTCTTTTTGCTGAAAGCCTTTGACAACCAATCTTGCTTTGTAGCGTTTGCTCCCATCTTGCTCTTCTTTAATCCTGTAAATCCACTTGTTATGGAGCGCTCTCTTGCCTGGTGGTAATTCAGCTAATTCCCACGTCTGATTTGACATAAGCGAGTCAATCTCATCTTTCATGGAAGACTCCCACTTGACTGAATCCTCCACTTGCATTGCTTCATCATAGCACTCTGGTTCACCATTGTCAGTCAGCAACAAGTAGTGTAAAGAAGGAGAATACCATTGGGTTGGTTTAGGAATTCTGGAGGAACGTCACAGTTCTGGTGTTAGTGGTTCTTCCTCTTGAACTGCTTCAGGATTGATCTGAACATCATTTCCAGAAATCTCCTCGAACTCAGCAAATTCCTTTGTTTCAGCCTCGGTATTACTTGATTCTGCGGTTGACCTGTCTTTGTACATCACATTTTCATTGAAAATGACGTCTCTGCTTCTGATGATCTTTCAATTTTGTAGTCCCAAAACCGGTAACCGAACTCATCACCGCCATAACCAACAAAGGCACATTTGTTGGACTTAGCATCAAGTTTACTTCTTTCAGCAGAGTCTATGTGTATATAAGAAATACAACCAAACACTCTTAAGTGTGAAAGGTTTATTTCTTTCTTGCTCCAAGCTTCCTCTGGTATTCCGCCATCCAAAGAAACTGAGGGTCCACGATTGATCAGGTAAGTTACAGTGTTGATAGCTTCAGCCCATAGAAATTTGGGCAATCCGGCATGTATCCTCATGCTTCTGGCACGTTCATTCAGAGTTCTGTTCATGCGCTCTGCTACGCCATTCTGCTGCAGTGTTATGGGAACTGTTGTCTCTATCTTGATCCCATTATTTGCGCAGAAATCTCTGAATCTACTGTCTCTGTACTCTCTTCCATTGTCAGACCTCAACCGCTTGACTTTCAAACCAGTCTCATTTTCCACCATGGCCTTCCATTTTCTGAAGGTATCAAAGACTTCTGATTTCTTCTTCAGAAAATAAACCCACACCTTCCTTGTTGAATCATCGATGAAGGTGACATAATATAGTGAGCCTGCAAGATATGGAACTGGGGATGGTCCCCATACATCAGTATGAACCAACTCTAACCTTTCTGCCTTGGGTGTCTTGCCAATCTTTGCAAAACTGACTTTCTTTTGTTTGCCAAAGATGCAATCCTCGCATAGTCCGACATCTACATTCTTTAGATCCGGCAGCTTCCCTTTTGACAAAAGTATCTTCATCCCTTTCTCGCTCATATG